ATTTAGGCAAAAACTTGATGTAAGTTAACATAAGTAAGCAAAACAATAATCAGCAGCCGTTTCCACAAATAGCGCTTTAATCATAGGTATAGTCAGGCGCTCAGCTCTCATACACTATGTCTGTTGAGTACACCTGTAATCAAATGGAGAGCCAAAAAAGTTTTTTATTTCAATTCAACGCCAGTCTATTTGAATGAATATATTTTTTGCCTCAAAACTGGTTTCATGTGTGAGAAGAGAGAAGGGGTCGAGAATAGGGGTCAGTATTTTTTAATCGAGCTCCGGGCGATTCTCGACAACAATTTTCTCATAGCATAAAGTGTGGATCAATTATTTATTCTAACCATTGAATAACAATAGCATTTTGTATGGTATAATGTAATGAACTTTTTCGCACCAAACTTTTCATTGGCAATAATGCAATTAGTATTGTATAGTTTGGATACGGTTTCATCTCATCAGCATTTGTTGGGCAACTTTCTCGGCGCTCATCCATCCATCCATTCCCTATATTCCCATTCAATGTGTCAATACATTTAATGTGTAGTTATGTTATATAGTATATACAGTACCTGTTCTCCTATCCACAGCACTGACATACATTTTATTCCTCCTTTTTTATGCAATCATTTTTTCATTTCATTCAGTTTTTATATACATTTTTTTTATTGAAGTTATTATTGAATACATGTAATAAATTTCCGACAATAAAGTGTTATAGAAATGGTTTTTTGTTGAAATGAAAATATTACTTTTTTAATAAATATCAATTAAGTTCTGATTACAGTAACGTTTGTTACATTGTTGTAAACTTCACTAAAGTTAATCAAATCCTTGTTATTTTAATCATTAGATTTGTATTGAAAGTCATGAAAAAACGATATACAGTATACCTTTACTGTACATGTTTTACTGGTTACTAACCGTTAGACTAAATAAAACTTTATTAAATCATAAATAGTTTTGATATAATTTATTTTTTAGACAATAATTTCATCACATGTTAATCTTCTTTAAAATTGCGTTTTTAACTAAAAACTATTTTTTAAATTAGTTTTTTTATTTGTCTCAAAAACGTGAAACATTTTTCTAACTTGTAAATCTAAAAAACAGAATTTCAATGTATATTTACACAATATTATAATTTTAATCATATATTTTAAAATATAGTATAAAAAAGATAATTGTATTGAATATATGAATTTGAAGTGCATTCAAACCCATGTTGAATACAATAAATTCATAATTATGTATAAAATTGGGTTCAAAAATGATTTAAAATATCAAAAATAATTTATTTTATTTTTTGTGGATATTTATCTTATTTTTTAAAGTTATAAATTCTGTAATAAATATTAATATAAAATAAACAAAACTGAAATAATCGTATTCAGTCTTTAGATCATCAATGTCTACATGATTTGCATAGAAATTATGATTGCAATCACTATTTACCCGGTTTACAGGTGTCCTCATGAGTCATGCCATCACTTCCTCAAACACTGTCTATCATATTATGGCTATATTTGGGACCGAATAACGACAAGCCATGCATTTGTAATATGATATTACTAATATCTATTGGGCATCTGTTTTACACAGTCTGTCAAATCAATTAATTGATTTCAATCATCGACTAAACAATAATTAAAGTCCTTCGTTAATGTGGGAAAAACTAATATTTTTAATTTATTGCAAAATTATGACGAACTTATAGGCTATAAGTTATAGGGGAGTCCACAACACAATTAATACAATAATGTTATAACTGTAAATCATATTTTGAAAATACATTAATTATTCATAGTAATGCAAAATCTATTATAATATTTAGTATTTCAACAAATATATAATTTTAATTCATTCAACAAATAACTTATAATGCAATTCATGTTTAGATTTACAATTTATAAGATATAAAAAAGTTGTATTCAATAGTAATTCAAAAATAGAATTTATTTAATTTAAATATTTTATAATCAATTTAAGAAATAATCAAAAACAAAATGATTTAATGAATTATGATTTGTCAGAACTAATTGATATATAATTATCGGCCATTTCTTGAGAGCACTGACTGTCCGGGGATTCAGTTTTGGTGATGAGTGTTATCTCTTTGGCGAGTAATAGATACCAAATATCTTGTCCGCTAAACTCTGTCATCTTATTTAACATAAACGCATTGAAAGCAATCGACTCTTTCTTATCGACCGACTCATTGCGATACAATTCAATCAAATCAATGATCTCTTCGCCATAGACTTCGAGTTTCTTGCAATCAGCGAATATCTCTCGCAAAGAGTCATCAAATTTCTGACTTAATTCATTGAATGGTATCTTCTTTCTAATCATTGCATTTATATCGTATAAAATCTTTTCGATTTCATTCATGTCTTCAATTTTAGCTCTTTTTGGCTCCAATTGTTCAATACTTAGCGTCGTTTGACTCGATTTCAAAGCCATCTTCCTTTTCATCGATTTGGTCGACGCGAGCGAAAAAAGTTGTGCCAATGATTCCAACGCATCCTTAGATTTCTCTCGGACTACAAGCGGTGAGTCAATCGTTCGCTTGAGATAATCGGCCATTTCTTGAGGAAAACTGGAATCCATTCCATAACACTGTCGATGATATAGATGTTGGAACCAATGCTGAAGAGACGGATCAGAGATTTCGTGTGAGAGCAAAGCTTCGCACGAGTTTCCCTCGTCATCGACATCTGCGTCCATCAAATCCATCGAATCAATCAGACTATCCATGGCTTGTAATTGGGATTCTGTGGGACTAGTATTGGGTTTACTTTGCAGAGAAGGGAACCGATAGCGACGGATGTCTTCATTGAACGGCAACTGATGGTAAGCGAGAAAAATATTATCCTCTTCTGTGACGGGTTCTAAATAACCGATTTGTGGATTTGTGTTATCCCTATAATTATAGCGAACAATAGCCACCTCTTTCTTATCCCTCAAAGCGGCCGCTAATGCCTGAAACACCAATCGGTGACCATTTTGTTTGGGCTTCGGGTGAGGATATAAATAATTGGTCTGCTTTCCAATGCGTTGCGCGATATCCATGTTCTCCATAGAAGTGAAACCAAGTATTTTAAATCCTTTGAAACCTTTCTCATTGTTATTATATTGAAACATATGTTTATCGTCATCACTGATGATCACTTGATTCTGGCCGAAAGCGTACGCCCACCGCAAGTCTTCTTTGTCAACGGGTTTCATCAACTCATCGTCTTTAGCCACAAACGTAACATCTTTTTCAACCTTCACTTCCGTAAAGGGAATCACTGTTCCGGTAGTCCCGACAACAGATGGCTTGACATCCACTTGGGATCCGTTACCACCGGCTGTGATGCCAGTATCGTTGGGTCGAATGTATATTTCCTCTGCGGTCGGCTTCTTATATGGATATATCTTAATCATTGAAGCGATGGGTATAGTGATAGCGTTGTGACCCTTTCCCAACTCTAATGTCGTATACGTTTGACTGGATTTAATCTCTTTCAGTTCAAATTCACCAAAAGTCTTAACAGCAAACTGGAGGTCGTAATAGTGTCCCACAGACTCTTTCTCTATTACTTCCATAAACTCTATGGCTTTCATCTGACATGTGGTCAATCGATCCAAATCACTGTTTGGCGTAAAATCACAGCTAAAAGATAAAAATCATATTAGTTTACAAATACATCATTCAATCGATCAAACAATGACCACAAAGACATACATTAACGTTAACTCGATATCAAATTCACGCAACTTTTGGATAATATGTTCGCCAAAGTTATCAAAGTCTTCGTCACTAAATGTGGCAAAATTTGTCAATAAAACAATCTTCCGGTTTGCATACGCTTTGACCTCCATTTCTTGGACCAATCGTGTGATGGCTTCGTCTATCACTTCAATCACTACATCCGCGGCCGACAAAAACAGCAAAGAGTTAATCAATAAAATTCAAGTCAAATAAATGATTTGACAAACCATTTGATGGATCAGATGTGAGCTCACGATCCGAATCGGCCTTCAATTGTCTTAACAAATTAAATGATGGCAAACAAAGATCACCATCGTGTTGATGGATCACATCGATTCCGTTGGGCGCCCGGTCTCTGTCGACCCCGAACTCCATCACCAAATACTCGTTCTTCGTTTCGGCGAATATCTTCTGTGGGATGATATTCTGGAGACAGAGTCGCGACAACTCGTACACCGTTTCATCGGATCCCATATGAAGACTCTTCGCGCACATGGTTTTGGCGCAATCGACAGCCAATACAATCGCGTCCTCTTTCTAGTAATCAAGACATCAGTCAATGGATCAAACGTTTGTGACAATCACTTTCATTGACACTTACTTTCGGAGCCATCTCTTCGGCGATCAATGGTTTGAATTGATTTGAACCACAAATCGGATCAAAACTAATGGCAAAACAAACGCTTAAATGCTTTCAAATTTCTTGTGACGAAACGATTGCTAACTTGTTATGAAACAAACGGCAAATTTACATACAATGTAAAACATATAATTGTTTTAATCGTTCCCTTAATCATAAATAATCATATATTTCAATATATTTACTATAAAAACTTGTCGCTCCCCTTCCCATGTCTAGCGTAACGCTATATATGAATGTATATATAAACACAAACTAATATATAAATGATGTGTAAATAATGGGTTAAAACCCCCCATAAATGGTAACAATATTTATGTGTTGAGCCATTAGTTGACAATAAGTGTACGAAATGTATAGCATTTGAGTCGATATAACATAAGGTCTTAATGTATAGCAAATGGGAGTCATATATAAAAAGGTACCAAAAAGTGTCGCAAAATTGAATCGCTGTGTCATTCGTGTAATGCATTCATTCATTGCACACAAAAAGCACTCAAAAACAAGTAATCATTGAATTTAGTTGTGGTTTGAAATCCAAGAGTTTTGTTAAACAGAAGTCAAATCACAAGACAATTACCACTCTTTGTGTGGACGACAAGAATGGCTGTTCGGACACAACAGATGCGAATGGATTTGGCCGCCGGTGGGGGTCAGAGACAGCCGCCGCCCGACTCGGCCCACACCAGCCCTCAGCTGAGCATAACCTCTGCGTCGGGTATTATCTCACTTCTGGACGAAGACAGCGTTGAGCTGAAGGTCTTTGCGTTGAAGAAACTGAACCAAATTGTGGACGAGTTTTGGCCCGAAGTGTCGGAAATCATATCTAAGATCGAAGTGCTCTACGAGAACGAGAACTTTGCCGAACGCCGATTGGCGGCACTCGTGGCCTCCAAAGTGTACTATCATTTGGGATCCTTTGACGACTCCCTGACGTACGCGTTGGGCGCCGGAGAGCTCTTCGACGTGACCACGAGCTCCGAATACGTGGACACTATTATTGCCAAATGTATCGATCATTACACCAAACTCCGTGTCCTGCAGTTCACGGCCGACACCACCGGTCAGACGAGTGCTACGGAACCGCCGCCGACCATCGATTCCCGGTTGGAGGCGATTGTCAACCGTATGTTTCAGCGCTGTTTCATTGATAATCACTACAAACAGGCGATCGGTATAGCGCTGGAGACGAGACGTATGGACATCTTTGAGCGCGCGATCACCGAATCCAACGATCTGTCGGCCATCTTGTCGTACGCCTTTAAGATAACTATGTCTTTGATGGAAAACAGACACTTCCGTAACGATGTGCTCAAGATTTTGGTCAAACTGTACCGTAATCTCGATTTACCCGACTTTGTGTCGATGACTCAGTGCCTCATATTCTTAGACGACGCCCAGTCTGTGGCCGAAGTGCTCGACCGACTGACCCGCACCTCAGATGACAGCACTCTTATGGCATATCAGATCGCCTTTGATTTGTATGAGTCGGCGACACAACAGTTCCTGACCCGTGTCTTACAGTCGCTGCAGTCGTGCGCTCCCATCCCAGCCCTCATCTCGAAGATCAATAAAGTGGAGCCGAAACCCGAGGCCAGCGCTGAGAGCGCACAGCCGGAGGTCGAGAAGATGGAAACGGATGACCAGAGCAGCGGTTCGTCACCCAAACCAGACACACCTCCGGCCGAAGCGCCGAAATCTGAAATACCTGTTCCCAAAATAGATGACTTGACCGAAGACGAGAAACAACGACAGAAGCGTTTGGAGAAATTGGCTGTCATTTTGAGCGGAGAGACCACTATTGAACTCGAGCTCCAATTCCTGATCCGTAACAATCACTCCGACCTTTTGATACTGAAGGGCACGAAAGACACGGTCAGGAACTCTGTCTGTCATAACGCGACGGTCATCGCCAACGGACTCATGCACTGCGGAACAACTAGTGACCAGTTTTTGCGGGACAATCTCGATTGGTTGGCCCGAGCCGTCAATTGGGCCAAATTCTCGGCCACCGCTAGTCTCGGAGTGATTCACATTCGGCACGAGAAGGAAGCGCTTCATCTCATGTCATCGTATTTGCCGAGAGATAACGGACCCGGAAGTGGTTATACTGAAGGTCTGTATTTGTTTGTTGTGTTTATTATAAATAATTGATATTAAAATATACAATATTATTGTTTTGGTCACTGAATAGGAGGCGGATTGTATGCATTGGGTCTCATCCATGCAAACCACGGCACAGCTATTATTGACTATTTGTTGAATCAAGTGAAGGACGCCAGTAATGAGGCGGTCAGACACGGCGGCTGTTTAGGTCTGGGTTTGGCTGCGATGGGCACTAATCGTACCGATGTCTATGAAATCGTAAGATTCTGTAATTCATCTTTTATTCGTTGATTTCATAAATGATTTGTTATTTCAGTTGAAATCCAATCTATTCCAAGACGACGCCATCACTGGTGAGGCCGCAGGCATTGCCATGGGTTTAGTGATGTTGGGCTCGAAATCAAGCGCCGCCATCACTGATATGGTTTCGTACGCACAGGAGACCCAACACGAGAAGATATTGAGAGGTCTGGCCATTGGAATCGGACTCACAATGTTTGGACGTCTCGAAGAGGCCGACACTTTGATCGAGAGTTTAATTAAAGATAAGGACCCTCTGCTCCGTCGGTCGGGAATGCATACCATAGCGATGGCCTATTGCGGGACCGGTAATAACAAAGCCATTCGTAAATTACTTCACGTGGCCGTCAGTGATGTCAACGATGACGTGCGAAGGGCTGCCGTCGAAGCGATTGGTTTTCTTCTGTTCCGAACCCCCGATCAGTGTCCGAGTGTTGTATCGCTTTTGTCCGAAAGCTATAACCCGAATGTGAGATACGGCGCAGCCATGGCTTTAGGCATATGCTGTGCCGGAACCGGCAATAAGGAGGCGATTGCACTGTTGGAGCCGATGACCAACGATCCGGTCAATTATGTGAGACAGGGAGCGCTCATCGCTTCGGCACTGATTCTCGTACAGCAAACTGAAGCCAATTGTCCGAAAGTGAAAGACTTCCGACAACTTTACGTGAAAGTAATCAGCGATAAACACGACGACGTGATGGCAAAGTTTGGCGCAATTATGGCGCAGGGAATCATCGACGCCGGCGGCCGTAACGTTACCGTCGGTCTCCAGACTCGCACCGGTCACACAAATATGCCGGCAGTGGTCGGAATGCTTGTGTTCACCCAATTCTGGTATTGGTATCCATTGGCACACTTTATATCGCTTTCATTCACACCAACCGCTGTTATTGGTCTCAATTCGGACCTCAAAATGCCTAAAATGACGATCAAATCCAATGCCAAGCCTTCACTCTATGGATATCCGGCGCCAATCGAAGAGAAGAAAGAGAAGGAGAGGGAAAAGGTGTCGACTGCTGTCCTCTCAATCACAGCCAAAGCCAAACGAAAAGAGGCCGAAAAGAAAGAGTCGACGAAAGAGGAGAAAATGGACGTCGATTTGACCGCCGATAAGGAAAAGACAGACAAAACTGCGGACAAAACTATAGATAAAACTTCGGACAAAACTATAGATAAAACTGCGGATAAAACTACAGATAAAAGTACCGAAAAGTCTACTGAAAAGTCGACCGAAAAGGTCGATACGAAAGACACTAAAACGACAACAAAAGAAGTGAAGGACGAGAAGGAAAAGACAGCGGCGGCCAAAGAGCCGGAGCCGGCCTTTGAATTACTTGAGAATCCGGCGCGAGTTGTGAGGAAACAGTTGAAAGTGATTCAATCGGCAGATGGCTGTCGGTATACACCGATGAAAGACCTGTCGATCGGCGGTATTATTGTGCTAAAGGACGGCAGTAGGAGTGAACCCGAAGTGTTGGTCGAGAACGTGGCCGCCGGCGGTCCCAAAGTACGGCAGATGGCTGTCGGTATACACCGATGAAAGACCTGTCGATCGGCGGTATTATTGTGCTAAAGGACGGCAGTAGGAGTGAACCCGAAGTGTTGGTCGAGAACGTGGCCGCCGGCGGTCCCAAAGTAGAGGACGAAGTGGAACCCGAACCGCCCGAACCTTTTGAATACATAGAAGACTAACCAATGTTTTCATATTATTTAAACTCTGATTTTGTTTTTCTTTTTATAATAAAATTGCAATTAATTCGCGATATTTAGTAAAACTTATTTTTTGTCAATTAATTGATTACTAATTAAAAACTTCAATTCATTTTATTATTAATAAATGTCTAAAACCTTTAATTAAACCGATTATTTAAATCTTATTGAACGCCGCGATGTCTACACTCTGGACAAAGTCTTCGAGCGCTTCGAGCTTTTCGGTGAGTTCTTCGACGGACACCTTATCGTCTTCGATGACAATCACAATCTGTAACTTTTGGATTCCATACGCGAGAGGCACTAATTTGGCTGTTATTCACACAACAAAGCAAACATTCATTACATTTAATCAATTAATTGCAATTCAAATGATGACATACAGGCGCCCCATACGAGTCCGTCCATTTCGATTTTGCGAACATTCACTTCCATTTGTTTCATATCTGTCTCGTCATCCCATGGCTTCACATCCAACACAACGCTAGACTTCGCAACAACTCCGGGCTCTGAGGAGTAAGCGATCCATACATTAGTAACTTATCCTAACTATTCGCTCATTAATATCAATACTTTTAGCCTTTTTGTTGGCGTAATCTTCGAGTCTCTTCTTGCGGACCTCATCGGCCTCTTCGTCCTCATCGGAACCAAACAGATCGACGTCTGAGTCGTCGTTGTCTTCCTTTTTGGTGTTATTGACAGCAGGTTTGGGCGCCGGAGCGGCTGTTTTGGCTGCACTCGGCTTCGATGAGCCCTCCAATGAAATCACTCTCAACTCTAACTTCGATACCAAAGAACTCAATTCATTGACCGCTAATCGCGATAAAAAAATGTCAATAAATAGTCGTTAAAACATTACAATCAATACTTTTCTTCAGCGACTGATTCTCTGTCTCCAAATGTTTGATTTTGTCAGCAAATGGATTCTTCAGACTATCGGATCCGTCCTTTTAAACAAATCATAATATGTTTAGTTTATTTGATTCAACAAAACGATAATAAGGTTTCATTCAATTGTAGACTAAATGGTTCAGAGATTGAGGTAAAAATTGCAAACAAAATATATAAAAACAAAGTATAGAAGGGATGGGAGGGAGGGCTGGATTGGGTGACACCGAACGCCGTAGACATGCGGTTAATTGAGAGTAAAAAACAAAGAGTTTTGTTTTGATGAAAATTAATTACTCACAGAATCTAATGTTTTATTAATTAATTTTCGAGCCCTCACTATATCTGAGACAATAGATTGAGTGCTATTTATTTGAGACAACTTTTTGCCCTTTTGTTCAACACTTTGATCTGTCGGCTGTGCTCTCGATTGTGTCATCACATCCTGTGATTGTCTCACACTCTAAACAACAGATAATATATACCATTCATATCATAAACACATCGCTATTTCAGTGTAAAAATAGTCAATTAATGAATGTAATTAACGTAACGTATAGTTAATTAAGTAATTAATTAAATATAAAGTAATTATCGCTACAAAACAAAAATGTAAACTAATTTACGACAAAATTAACACAAAAATATGTTTCAAAAACACAAAATTTAAACTAAATTAATATTGTCTTAAGAGTGAGAATCAAATCAATAAATGGTGTAATACTTGTGAGAAGTAATCCCTCTCCGCGTCGGCGTATCTGTACTTCTCGTCCCAAACCGACTCTTTGGCCAACGCTTCCAAGTTTTGTACCGCAGATGAAGACATGTCTCACGCGTTCAGTTATGGTGTCCACGAAATCTATAGTCAAACCATACAATCAAACAATTGATTTACAAATCATTATATGATTAATACATACAAAAAAGTGTCCAAAAGTTAAGTGCAAATCAAACGCCGATTTAATTAAACACCAAATTATCGGTCAATTAATTGCAAACGTGTTGTGCTGTCAACGCGTGTTTGGAAAAGGGCTCTTCACTAACACTGTTACACTAATGGCTGCTTTTTAGGGGGCAATTGCTTTAATCATTAATTATAAATTACAATAAAATCAATCACTTAAATGATTTAAAAATAATTTACTGCAATTAATAATACATTGAAACATAGCCTAAACCAACCCTAGCCTAACATACCCCTCGTCCCACTCCCTCTCTTAAGTCCAACCGATTATATGCATTCTTTAACCCAAATAGCCATCAGTTTTATTAAAATATTTAATTAAATCTAATTTTTAACATCAATTAACAGAAATGAATGAGTGGTTGTGAGACCCAAAGTTTGACCATGGTTAATAAAAATTACAATTCAAAGTTTTAATCGCTGCCCTTTTATGCTTTATTTATATGAATAAAAACACTCTACCCTTCACTCATTGTAACGTTATATGTGAACAAAAACAAATTCTATCGATATTGACAATGAAATTCTATAAAAAGAGTTCACAAATAGTGTTACAAATGTAAAGAATAAATGAAAACTCAATAATAGATTTAAATTGAATTTTAATAAATAATTTATTGATCTATACATTAAAAATGGAAAACAAAAAGCGTTTGACTAATCATTTTAAGGACTATTAATTTGTCAAAAAAATTTCTAGATTTTTTGTTTTGTTACAAAGTGTTTGAATACAAGTATAGAATATATAATGCATTCGCAGAATATATGGCATTAATTATATATCATTGTATATATTCTGTGTCTCTACTAATCGTTTTTACAACAAATATTAATTCCGAGAAAAACTTCTATAACTTCTATACCATTAAATATAACCAGATTTATACTATAATTTTAGCTAACTAAAACAAAACATAAAGTTCAATTAATAGTCAAATCAACTCCAAGAGAAGATTTCTCCTTTAAGTAAATGTTTACATAACAAAACATAAAAAAAGCAAATTTTATAACTAATTAAGTTTAGCACTAAAAGAGATGCGAAACGCTATCATCTCTTTGTAATGTTTGGTTTGTTTATAATCCTAAGTAAATGTCCAACAAATATATCGATAATCCTTTCTATTAGTATTCAATAGTCATTTTCAATAGTAGTTTACGAAACAAAACGCTTATATAATATAAATTCATTTGGAATTCATTTACAAAATTAAAATAACAATTAAAACGAATGATTCATTTGTTCCACGGGTTTGACAATTAGCCTGAATATTGAGGAGGAATTTTGCCATTCATTTGAACACAATTTGGCCGCCCTTTCAAACGGACGGTTAATATTCCTCTTCGTATTTGAAATACTTTGAAATCTTATGATTAATTTGAATATATATTTGTGTTGTATTTTGTATTAAATATTGGTCTAAATATGATATTAAAATCGATTGATTTTGTTTTGTATTTCAAGTTAATTATCAGTTTAGTTGAGGTTCTCTTCTAAAGAGGAAATTCATTTACAAATGTATTGTTTTGTATTTTTTTTTTGCAAATTTTATAACTAATTAAGTTTAGCACTAAAAAGAGATCCGAAACGCTATAATCTCTTTGTAATGTTTGGTTTGTTTATAATCCTAAGTAAATGTCCAACAAATATATCGATAATCCTTTCTATTAGTATTCAATAGTCATTTCAATAGTAGTTTACGAAACAAAACGCTTATATAATATAAATTCATTTGGAATTCATTTACAAAATTAAAATAACAATTAAACGAATGATTCATTTGTTCCACGGGTTTGACAATTAGCCTGAATATTGAGGAGGAATTTGCCATTCATTTGAACACAATTTGGCCGCCCTTTCAAACGGACGGTTAATATTCCTCTTCGTATTTGAAATACTTTGAAATCTTATGATTAATTTGAATATATATTTGTGTTGTATTTTGTATTA